GAAGAGTTAAATGAATATTAACAAAAAATAATCAAATAAATGAATCTTTTTGAAACCAAATTTGCTCTCAAGATCCATTCATTCCACTTAAACTACAGTACCCAATTAATTAAATTTAATAGAAAACTCAGCAAATAAATTGAAATAAAATATTAAATAATTATTTTTATAAAAATTACCTACAGTACTTTAACAAGTCATGCTTCCTTTAGAAGAAATTTACTGTATGAAACATCGGCTGTGCACCATGAATTTTTGCAAAGTACGGGCTTCGGAACTCTACTGGACTCAGTTTTTTCTTCTGAACTCAATAATCTCAAATAGTACTTCTCAGATTTATCCAAGCCTCTTATGCCAACTTCACATATGAATATTCAAAAGAAATAAAAATTTTCAGCCGTTACAATATCACAGTTCACAAAGGCCCATAGCGGTGTTCCTCAACCGGCTCATCTATTTCTTTCAAAGCAATGATTCAGCAGCATTTTCAATAGAATTTTACCATAATTATGATTAGAACGTGTTTCAGCCTTTCAAAATTACAGTAAAAATAGAAAACATCAGAATTGATAAAGGCTGAAAGGCAGAGAAAATATAATAAAAGCTTTATACCAACGGTAGTGCCTGCATTCCATTCATATTCGTCACATAACTTCCTCAAAACCCCTCGAGTTTCTTTTATAACTCCCAACTGCAGAAAACCCTTAAAAATTCCATTTCTCATACAACAAGCTGTATAAAAACGGAAATGAAAAAAAAAAAGCAATATGGAATAAACTCACAAAGAATTACAATGGACATATGAATTTTGAAAAAATACATGTATTTGCGAATATTGCTTAAATTTTAAACGAGTGAAAAGATGCAAATGAGAAAGCCGACTCTTTGATGTACCACTTTATCATACCTTGCCAAAAACATTCCATCCAAAAGTATTTTTTCATATTGCCAGATGTTTTCCTAATTAACCTTCTAATTTCGATCTATAGATAGAAGAAAACGTCCTACACCTAATCAAATTTAAGAATTTCTGTTTCGCTAAATTTCTACGTACTATACCTGCAAACAGCAAAAGAATAATTAATAATAAAAAAAGTGTGAAAACATATTAGCAATATCAAAAACTAAAACCTAAAGAAAACCTGTAAAGCCCAAACAGTTTAAGACGCAACCAGCCACTGGAAGCAAATTTTTCAGGGTACAAAGAATGATAAATTGCATTTGATTTCTCTACAGCTCATGGTAGGCATTTAAAATTTTGGTTAAAGAAACTCGCTTTATTAAAAAAAATTTTTTGAGTGTCAATTAAACCAAAGAAAAAGAAATCAACTATTACCCAGCTTGATGGCTTGTTACCCAACCGAATTTGAAAACTATGCATAAACATCGAGAACTCACACATGAAACGTGAAAATAAAGTAGAAAAATGCTTTCAGTTGCACCCTCTGATCAATCACAGGCCAAAAAACTTCAAAGCATTTAAGATTTAGAAGCTTTTTAAAGCAACAAAACTGAAAAAAGCAAACACCAACTTAATACTCAGAGACCTCCCAATTAACCCTTTCAGCCTGTTGGCTGTAATTCCAAAGGCAACAAACATATCGTCAGTGATTTAAAATTCAAATTTTGGCGCCACTTCACAATGTCGCATATCGTTTAGCGAGCCGTTAGCATCCAGGCGTCATTGGTTGCCACCATCTGTACATTAGTTATGTTTTCCGGTTATTGTTTGACGAAATCGGATTCATGGTTAGAGCCGGTGGTCACTGGGTGTATTTTTTTAAATTAAAGTAACTTCACTTCTTCATCTGATATGTGTTATCTGAAGGCTAGAGTTCCTTTCTTAATGGCATTCTTGAGAAAGTACAGAAGGGCCGAAAGTCACATTTGATTGCCTCGCTGAGAAGTAATCCTCAAGAAGTGATAGCAACATATTTTGTAAAAAAAAAA